AACTTGAGTAGTAAACTTTCACTCAGCACAGGCAGAAGCTGAGACCCCAGCAAAACACCAAGAAACCAATCAGGTTATGAGTCTTCCCAGATGCTAATCAAGCACTATTCAAGAACAGATTCAGCCAGATATGATTCCTATGTATTAAGCAACACACAAACTATCTGTTTTTCTGGACTTTGTCAAGCCTCTTTTTCAACCTGTGTAAACTCTGAGTCTCCATGATTCTCTCAGCTAGTTATCACGTGAAGAACCACATCCAGGTTTTTCAATTTCGCCCTTGCATCTACTAGTTTCATGTGATGCCCTTTACATCTTTTACGGAAATTACAGTAAATAATTTATCTCTCTCCACCCTATCCTCATTGCTAGTAACTGTACAGATTGCTACTCTATTCCTTTGTTCCTACCTGAAGCTGTCTCACTGAAACAAGACTTAGTTACCATGGATGGAGCTTTGAGAAACCTGATCTAGTGGGAGGTATCCCTGCCCATGCTGGGGGACTGGAACTAGATGGTCTTTAAGGTCCCTTTCCAACACAAACCATTGTGTGGTTCTGTGATTCCACTCTGCTTATGTAGTTAGGCCCCTAGTGCTGTTGAGCTTACTCAAGCTAAGGAGTCCAAGCATGATTTTATCACAAGTCACAAAGTGGATGAGGCTGGAAGATCCCTCTGGAAATTATCTGCTCCAGCCTCCCTGCTTACAGCAGAGTCAATTACAGCAGGCTTCTCACGAAAAAATCCAGCTGGGTTTTGAAGATCTCCAAGATTGGATACATGACAATTTCTCTGAGCAACATGATCAACTGTTTAACAGCCTGACAATAAAGCACCTTTTTTCTTGCATTTTAATGGAATTTCATGCATTTCAATTTAAGTTCATTAACGCTTCTCCTTTCACTGGGCACCACTGAGAAACACCTTGCTCCACCATCAGGTATTTATACACATTGATAAGATTTCCCCGAGTCCTGGGAAGCAGTTTGATTGGAAAAACAGGCATGAAAGTAAGATATAAAAAAAAAAAAAAAAAAAAAAAAAAAAAACCCTTGAAATTTTAGTTGAAAACTAAAGTTGAAAAAAAGAAGCCTATGAATTAAATAAATAGGTTAAAAAACACTCCAAAGGCCCACCAAAAATCTCCAGGTACTTTTCTTAGTTTTTCTCAAAATAGAAATGGTTACTGGTGTTCTGACTACTTATCTGATTCTTGACTTCAATAAGTACAGAAAAGGACTCAGGTTATTATAGAATTTCCATTAAAATAGGTTGTGAATGAGTGTAATATAAAATCTGATTTTCATTCACACTTAAATGTCACATCAGTAGGGTTATTATTGGGGGTCATTTCATTATTTGCTTTCATTAAATTTTTCAAAGCTCAAATATGTTTTTATACACACGGAATTTGAATGTCTATGCTAATAACAATCATAATAATAAAAGTAATAATGTAACTGCAAAAACAGTACAAGCCCAAATCTCAACAAGTAAAATACAGTCATTAATGTAATATTAAATGCCTTTAACCCAGTGAATTATTACCTTTTCTTCCTGTATTCTTTCAGTAGAGATCTGTTATTCCATAGCATCACAGTCTTAACTCTCACATCAAGAATGGAGGTAAACCTAGTAAGAATATAGCATCAGCAGAACCAAATTTTTAGCAGTGTAAAATGTAGGCTGTGTTTATGAAGATATGGAAATCTTACTGTTAAGACAAAAATATTTTGAAGGCAATCTCTAGAACAATATTATTAGTAAACTATTGTATAATTGACTATGAGTCGTTTATTGGTCTTTGCTTCATAAATAACTCTTACTTCCAAAACCTAGAGTAAATCTGCAGTAACTGTGATTGTATTTTGAACGGTGAAATTTTGCCAATATAAAAAATAAGTAAAAATCATGAAAGTATAAAATATTCAACCATATCTTTGTGCAGGAGACTTAATCTACTGTCATTGCTTTCCAAATCCTTACTCTTTGACTCACTGTTATTTTTGCAGATCTGTGTTATGAGAATAGCAGTAATTTCAGATTTGTGTGATAAATGTCTTAAACCCAAATATTAACAATCTTCTATATTCTGACTCCACAGAGAAATTGTATGAACTTCCCTAAGTATTGACACTTTCAATTTTCTTGAGAGGGCAAAGAATAGTGGCAAGGATGATTTTTTTCCTTCTTCCCTGAAATTCCTTTCAGATGTTCTGTTATACATTTGTCTCCAATTCTGTACATCTGTGATGTAAGTTTAATAGTTGAGTTTCTTTAGATACTTCCACTCTTGGCTGAATGCTTCATTTCAGCACCAATAGTGTATGTCATAAACATTTAATTTAAAAAGTGGAATTTTTTGTCCCAGTGAAGTATTTGAATTAGTTCATCTGCAGAAAGTGTTTTACAGAATGTGATTTGTAGGGGTGTGCACTGTTGGGACATTTGAGATGATGCTACATGCGTATTCACTAGTGCCCTATTTTTGGAAATTAAAACAAAAAAAAATATTCTCTCAATTCTGTGCCTTTCATGCATTTTCTTAGTTTCTTGACACTCTGATAGCATTTGAGGTTTTGGAAGAGAGACATCCACTTCAACATCTTGACTGTGCAAGGATTTGTTTTAAGATACAGTGTGCAAAACCCGAAGAAATTAATTGATACAATTTACATGTGCACTGGGGCTCCCTAATCCTACTGACTTCATGTCATCTCAGATGCCTTAAAATATTTTAAGTATTGTAAATTTCATATTTCTTTAATTATCTTTAAAAAAAAAGTTTAAAATCTGACAAACATCTTCTAGAAAGGGAGTGAAGAACATGGAATTAAACAAAAATTTCCTGAATTGCAGGTTATGAATAAATGAAAAGCAATTCTTTTCCTTAGTTCTACAGAACTGTTTACAAAAAAAATACCTCTATTATGTTAAAATTGTTTTATAACACTTCAAAAATGATCTCCAAATATTTTAGTTATATATTTTTAGAACACTTTTGTAAGTAATTTTTTTTTCTAAAATCTTCCTTGATGTGTATCAATTATGTGATAGCAACATCTCAGCTACAAATACTTTAAATGTCAAAAATATGCACTTGATATTCAATTTTGGTACTGATTTAACATACAGCCACTGTCACATATAGATTGTGCGTAGCAGCATGGTAAAGGTGCACTTGATATTCAATTTTGGTACTGATTTAACATACAGCCATTCACTGTCACATATAGATTGTGCATAGCAGCATGGTAAAGATCATGTTTTCTGTGTACCCATTTTGGAAGTCAGGCTCACTGTCCAGCTTAGAACAAAAGCCTACCTATTCAAGACAACTAATGTTCAGCCAGTATGCTCTACAAATACACAGAATTTCCTCAGGAGCAAGCATGCCTCATGGTGTCAAAAAAGTCAAACACTGCCGTCACTTACGGTGATTTTACAAGTGAAAAGCATATAAAAGACTAACACAGTTGCTAAGAGCAGGGTTTGGCTACAGGACTCCACATCTGAAAATTATCAGAATCAGATGTTTATTTAAGTTGTGGCAACAGGTAGGAAGCCTTGCCATGCACATGCTACATGAGGAAGCTTTGCTAATTAGTTGTAACTCGTGTATTAATCAAGTCTCAATTGTGGCTAGTAGAAAACATAAATATTTCTCCTTTTATCCAGTGCTCTGTTTTGGACCCACTGTGCAGTATCAAGTTGCTTTTGATGTACTGTCAAGATGTGTGAAAATTTAAAACAATCTTCCACAAGAAAACTTCTGTGCTGTCAAATGGTCTCCATCACTTCATCTGCTTTCCTGTCCTGTGAGGTGAGAGCTTTTATTGGTTTAGGCTGCCTTTAGGGAATGCAGGATACCTTTCCTGAAAACAACAAAAACGACAAAATTTTCTTGTTGCCACTTTCTGTGTCTCTTCCTCAGCACACTGCTGGTAGAAACTATGCCAACTGTGCTTTTAATGCAGCCATGTCCAATTGTACTGAATGATCCAAAACTCATTTATAATGTGTCTCAAAGTCTTATTGAGAGATTAAGTTATATAATTTTGAAATAGCATTTCCCCCAGAGGGTAAAGGGAAACTTACGCACATTAATATCAGACTTGTCAGCTAAGTATATCTGATAGTTATTAATTCTTTAGCCATACAAAAGTTAAGCTATAGACCTGAGGTGAATAAAAGACTTCTGGTTCAAGAGAGACTCAGGCTGACCTTGGCAGTGCCATTAATCATGAGTACAGCTCAAACAGATTGTATAGCACTGCAGAGACTTTGGAAGGAGAATAAAAGGATATATGCACTTTGGGAACCATAAACCATTGTCTTAGAAAACGTCTATGCCTTAGATCATCAGAAAAAGTCACATAAAATAGTTTTGCAAGACATTTTTCAAGACATAATGCCTTGTGCATACCTGAACTTCTGTCATCTGCACAGCTACATTTAGTCATGGGTGTGTACATAGAGAGTGGACAAAAGTGCTGGTTTATATATTTATTCTGCTACTGTTTAAATTTTGTCAAGAACAAAATTAAGAAAGTGACCAACCTCAAAAGGTTTTCTCAAATGTTTCCTGTGGGTGTGGCAGTAAAATATGGTGCTATGCTGAACTGTAGCAGATCTTCAATGGAAAAATAACCATATTTATAATAGATATCTTTATGGCAACTACAGAGTAACAACCCAACTGCAAAGAAAAGTGGTGTGGAGTTATTTACATGTACTTCTTTACTGATACTTATAATGGAAAAGGTGTCTTGGTACTGAAAATACAATAATAGTCTTTAAAAACCCTCTCCATTTTCACGTTCTAATAACAGTCTCATTTCAAAAGAAGAGGGAGAGACAAGGGAAATTTCCTTCACATCAAGGAATAGCTGCTTTCATCTTTTTATTATTTTGGAAAAGTGTAGTATTTGTATGAACATTTTAAATATTCACTGACGTATGCTAAGATCTTTTCATTTTTAATTTGGGCTTTACATCTTCAAAGTGAGCAATAGCATTTTAAATTTAAATTTTCAGTGAAACTTTGGAAGAGGAAATATGATGTCTCAACATACTGTTTTCTTTAAAAAAAAGACAACAAACATAACCCCCAAACACAATGCACACACCCCCCTCCTCCCCCACAGTTCTAGTCATTAGATACTCCAGGAAGTGATCTCCATTTTTTTTCTAAAAGAAGTCAGCATGTTGCTATTGCTTCTTGTCTTAAAGTTCGTGTTTGATTTACCATTCAGTTTTGTAACACCATCACAGCAGACAGTTTACCACTTAAATGATAAAAGTTTCAATAGGCACTTTAGTGGAATTACGAAAAAGCTACCACTCTTCCACCATGATGCCAGAAAGCTACCTTCTTTCTAAGTCAGGTCAGTAAACTGCACCTTGTAGGCCTGAGCTTGTCTCAGTGTAATTCCAGAGTAACAAAATAACAACAACAAAAACCTGTGTATGTTACAGGATTTATCATTCTTAAATCAAACCAAAACTGACGGTATGATAAATGTAGTAACTTGCTGGAAACAATTGCTGTCTTTTATAATCAAAGTAATTGTGTCTTATATAAAGCTTAGGTTTATCTTTTAAATTTGTTGTTGGTTTGCTTTTCTTTTTGTTTCTCAGTCGTACTTGTACTTAAGTGACTTTGTCAGGGTTATAACTTTCTTCTCCAAACATATCTGCCAAGATCTTAAAGCGAGGACCCCAGTCACTCAGATAGTCATAATCCTGATCTGCCTCTGTAGTGAGGGAGTCTATAGAGCTGAGAGACTCTGCAACAGATCCGTTTCCTTCATAAGCATAGGTTGCCAAGGAGTCATAAGGGGGTGCTGAGGGATCTACATCATTTTCCTGCAGCCTTTGATTAATGAAATCTCTTATGTCTGTGTTATCTTCCGCTGGTGGTCTGTGGCGTGTAAAACGCAAGGTGTCTGGTTTTATGTCCCTGCGTATTTTATTATCTTCAATCACTTTGGGATTCCTCAGGGCACCTATGTCAAAAGCCTGGGTATCCTCTTCTCCACCTCCTTCATCATCATAATGGATAACATTATCTCTGATGTCTTCTTTAGAGGTCATCAGGGTGTCTTTCTTCTTCTGCCTCCGTAGTGCTACATACAGTACCACAATGACTGTAACGAGAGACAACTGAAGTTAAGACATGCAGAGATATAATTTAGTACTCTGATGACACATCATTATATCTTTCTTTGAAAGCCACAAGCAATCAAAGGGACTTTTGTCCTTAGAAAAGAGCAGTGCTTAACAGTGCTCTAGCCAATGAAAAATTATTTGCTCTTTGACATATGCATCTATCTTTCCTAAGTGCTTGCTGTACTGCTGGAGAAAGTACCAAATAATTTTCCTGCTGACCTGCTTTGCAAATGAATAGAATTGAACTGGTCTTCAGGTTTTTTAGTTCAGAGAAAGAGAGGTGATTTTTTAAAAAGTATTTTCCATAGAAAAATAGAGAAAAGAACCCTAAATTTACACTTTGAAGAATAAAAAACTAAACCAAAACCCAACCCAAAGAGTATTACAGAAAAAAAAAATTGGAATTTTAAATAGTAAATAGTTTTACTAATTTCAAATTTGGAATTTTTGAAACACAGAAAAAATAACCCTACTGTATCTTTTTATACAGTACACTTCAGCTTCTTCAGGGATCTGCTTCAAAAAATTACTTGTTATAAGGTTCTGGAGAGAAGAGGGGTCTAGGAGAGCTGGTTGATTTTCAAGTATTATGTCCTTCAAACTCAACAGTGGTCCAACCTGAAAAGAAGGAAATCAAGAAAAGGCAGCAGGAGGCCTGCACTGATGAATAAGAAGCTCTTGACTAAAATCAGTGATAAAAAAGAGGCATCTAAGAGTTGAAAACAGCGACAGGTGAGCCAGGAGGCATATACAGTGACAGTCTGAACACGCAGGAATGAGGTAAGGAAAGACAAAGCCCACGTGGTGCTGTCTCAGGAGAGTCATGAAGGGCAGCAAGAGGGGCTTGTACAAGTAAGACAGAAAGAAAGGGTAGAAAGGTAGAGTAAAGTTGGGCCCAATGCTGAGTGGGGCAAGGGATCAGCTGCCAAATGACATGGAAAAGGCCAACCTAGTCAGCAACTTCTTTGACTCTGTCTTTTTTTTGTAAAGTTGTCCTTCAGTAATTCCATGTCTTTCAGATGCGAGGGAAAGTCTGGAATAAGAAAGACCTAATCCTTGGTGGAAGAGGATCAGGTTAGAGAATACTTGAACAAACTGGACACACAAGTGCACGGGATATGGTGAGATACACCCGTGAATGAAGAAGAAGTTGTCACTCCTATCTTCAATTAGGGCAAGAAAAATGAGCTAGGGAACTAGAGTCTCACCTTGATTTTTAGGAAAGTGATGGAGAAAATAAGAGGGGGTGTAATAGCAACAGGCATGGATTTATGAAGGTGTAATTGTGCTTAACTAACTCAATAGCCTTCTACAATAAGGTGACTGGTTCATGAAGGGAGAAGAATTTTATCCTAACTCTAGCAAAGCTTTTGATACTATCTTTCATAACAATCTTCTCAGAAAACCTGAGAAAGTGTGGACTATGCAAGCAGATGGTGAGGTGGATTGTAAAGCTGCCAAACTGCCAGCTTGTGAGCAATATTTCAAAGTCCAGATGGAGGCCAGTCTCTAATAAAGTACCACACTCCCAGATAGTGGGACTAGTTTTATTTAATATTTTCATAAATAGCCTGGATGGTGGGATTGAGTGCACCCTCAGCAAGTTTACAGGCAATAAAAAAGAGGGGTTGTGCCACTGTTCAAAGCAATTTCATCAGGCTGAGGGAGTGGGCCAAAAGGAATTCCCATGATGTTCAACAAATAGAAATTCAAAGTTCCACACACACAGAGGAGTAACTGCCTACCGTAGATGCTGTTGGCCAACTGACCAGAAAACAGCTTGATGGATGAGGCCTTGCGATCCTGTTGGACAAGAAGCCAACAAGAAGCCATGAATGTCCCCTTGTGTCAAAAAAGATCAACAGCATTTGGGACTGAATTAGGAGAAACATTGCTAGCAGGTCTAGTGAGATGGTCATTGCCCTCTGCTCAGCTCTGCTTATGCACACTCAGAGTTCTGGGCCCAGTGCTGGGCTCCTCATTAAAAGACAGACATGGACTCCCTGAAGTGAGTCCAATGTAGAACCACAAAGACAATTAAGGGATGGGACCATCTGCCACACAAGGAGAGGATAAGAGAGCCAAGTCTGCTCATTCTGGGGAAGATGCAGGGGGATCTTATCAACTTGAATAAATACCTAATGGACAGAACTAAACATAGAGCCAGGCTTTTCTGAGGGTTGTCCTGTCACAGGAAAAGAGGCAGTGGGCACAAAATGAAATGTGGAAAATTCCATTAAAATGTTAGAAAAAAAGTCTTCTTTATCACCAGGATGTCAAGTAGAGGAATATGTTGCCCAGAGAAGTTGTGGGGTATCCATCCTGTTCTAACTGGAATTGTGGCAAAGGAGAGAGCATTTTCCTTGCTTGGAAAAAAAAAAAAACTAACATAAGTTATTTTGTCTAGTTGGTTTTTGGTTTTGTTTTAAATTCTTCAGAGTGAGTGTATTTGTAAATATAACTGCTACTCCATGGGAAGTGTGACCGTTTGCCATTCTTGTTCTGATTTGAAAACAAAATTTTCTCACAACAAAATTTTTTGACACAGAGCAGAAATCCTGACTTTTACCCACTCTTACTCAGAAGCTATTTTTGTAACCCTGAGCCTTCAGTAATTTACTTAAGTGGCACCTGCATCATCTAAATGCAATGAGGTATCCACATTATATTCTACGTCAGGAGCTATTTTTGCGTCCTCATTAGACTGTCATGGGACCTTGGAAGCCACTAGTATCAAAACTAGGCATAAGCCAGCATCTGTAAGACTCAGTCTGGTTTCTAAAGCCCACATTGTGCCTGTGTAAGCCTTAAAGTTGGGTTTATTTCATTAGCAGTTGCTTCAGGCTATTTTACAAGTCAGATGCACTTTGGATATGCTGTAAATAAGACAGTATATAAATATAAGGTAGAACAAATAATAATGCCACCTTATGAAATCAATGCCTGGCTGAAATAAAAAAATTCTTCCTGTGAAGTTTGATATAGATGTGGCCAGTAAGAGTCTATGTTGCAATTATTTTCTCCTCATCCATTTCTTCATTCTCCTTTTGCTTAAGTGGGCATGAAGAATTAAATAAAAACTCTTACTATGTTCTTACTGCTGTTACTGTCAGTAGGACATGCCTACTTTAGTAACAATCTAAAAAATTAATCTTTCAAGAAAGATATTTAAAATAATTTCAGAAAAAAAATTATTATTTGGGTTTCATTGAAAACTGATTCTCTTAATGCAATAAGATATATTGCATGGATTAGCAGATTCACGGTCATGAGCAATACTTTGGGATACTCTTCTAGAAATTAACAGCCTCACATTTTCCATGTCTTTTGTTAAAAACTAGGTGAAGCTAGTGAATAATCAGAGTAAAGCACTTTGCAGGGTTTCATGGGAACTAACCTAGAAGTATAACAATACACAACAAGATTGCAATCAAAGCTCCTGTGCTGAGGCCGACTGGTAAGAAGATTGCTTCCACGTTGCAAGACTGGATGGTGCCATCAGAATCACATCTGCAAACACGGATAGTCAAAGTGTTTGTGCTGCTCTGGACAGGGTAACTGCTGTCTTCAATTACTACTGGAAGAAAGTAAAGCTCTTGCTGCCTTCTGCTGTAGCCATTTCTTCTGGTTTCAATCCCAGCTGTGTTGTCTGTAAAACATGACAGTCATTAGCAGATTTTTATTGTGTACTTCACTCCATATTTTAGCTTGATACACCTTCAGTAACAGGCTGGTATTTAATATTTGAAACTTGGTGAATGACATGCATTATGTAATTGCCTTGCTTTGCCATTACAGAAAGTATCGTATTCTGACTGGTACAGTTATTCATTGCAGAGACTTAAACAATATTCCTTTTCCTGTAAACCTTTTTAACAGCTGACATTTCAAAGAAGATAAAAGTAACTAAAAAACCCCAAACAAAACATTACAAGTGTGATTCTGAAGATTTTTCAGGTTTTTTTCACTGGGTCTCCTTGCATTTTAAGCCTGTGGTCCAAAGGATTTTGATTGCGTATGAATTTAGACTCATATATCTATCAACTAATTAATTACCTAAAAAATATAAAGTAATATACCTGGACAATATAAAATAATTTTAGCTTTCCGGACGCATTAAAAATAACTAAAGAAATGAACTAAGTACTAAAAAAATCAGTAGTTTCCATCAATTAGTCCACTTCTAGACTGTCATTTCTTCCCAGTTAGTTATTGCTGCTTTTCCTGAATCAAACAAAATAGCAAGGAAATGATGTAAAGATTAAAATAATTACATTAAAATTTGGAAAGGAATTAATGAGATGACGGAACTAAATGAAAGTAATCTGCTGCAATTACTATTATTTTATCTCACCTATATGCTTTATTATAGTTTTTAAAAAAGGTAATATGATGGTTTTTATGTCTCAGAGGTTTGTTATGAGGTAGAAGGATTAAGGGCTCTGAACTTCCCACTCATATACTGGTATGGAGTTCTGACTAAGGACAATAAGAAGGAACTCTAAATATCCAAAATTAGGTATGTTATGATTAGACACCACTGAGACAGTGCATAGCTAAACAAATGCTTCAGACTCCTCCTTTTCATCAAACTCAAACTTGGACAGGTCAAGTTCAGTTACACTACGTTTTGAAAAGGAAAAATGTCCCAGAATAGTGTGAATGCTTCAGCTTTTTCTTTCTCTCTATGATTACCTGCAAGGTATAATAAGTTTAACTAATTTGAAGACATTCAGTTGAACCTTATTTCTGTTATTTTTTCCATATTTCTATTATTAGAATGATTTATATTCTTCTATTTTTTCTTCTAAGTGAAACACTGAAGATCACTTTAATAGCCTCCAATGCAACTAAATGACTTTTCATCCTCCTTTGAGAAGAATCAATCAGATCAACCTGTTAACTCCTTGATTTTGAACGCTTTTTGTTGCTCTTTTATGACCTCTTTCAATTGTTCAAAGTTCTTTTGAGAATACGAACACAGGCAGGTATTTGAACTCTACACAGAAGAACCTAAAGAAGCTGAGATAGCTTCTGCTTCTTCAATCTGCTGGCAATAAATTAATTTATATGTGTGAGAAAAAGTAATTCTGTCTCTTACATGAGCAATGGAGTGTACTCCACATGGAAGCTGCCCTCTAGAGAGCAGAGTGAGGCCAGCAAAGCAGGAAGAGGGAGATCTGTAGTCCCTCTGGAAGCACTCCAGCTCTGCCAGGGCATCACTTCTATTAACACAGTGGATTGATCTCAGTGCTGCTGAAAGGCAACCTTGAGCTTCTGTCTCGCTCCAGTCCTCATTAAGTTATATTCTGAAGTTTGGGGCCTGGCTTCTCTTGAGTGCAGCACAAGAGTACCTGCTGAAGTTACACCTGCTGAAGTATCAGACAACCCATGATTTTCAGTTGTACAGAATAGCATGGGGATTAGGGCTTCTTGATATATTTAAAAATTTGAAATGCTGCCTTTAATTGTACTACAGTGAAAAACACTGTGTCCTCAAAAAATAGAAAAAAATGCTTTCACATAATACCTGCTTGTTACTAACATAATTGCTAGCTTAAAAGAAAATGGTACTTGTTTTTAAAAGATTTCTTTAGTGAAAATAAGGCTGTGTTAGTACACCTCTAAATTGTGCACAGAACAGACCTTCCTCCACATTTTTGGCAAACAAAAGGCAGATGATATTGCAAGACAGGGTTTTTGTTTGGACAGATTTTTTTCTAATATCTCTGCAAATCATCAATAATGAAAAAAAGTTTTTATGGGGTTTTTTGTTCCTTACATTGTAACAAATCACATACTTTTTTTTTTTTTTTTTTTTGTTTCTAAATGTTAAGAAATGCTTTTAAAATTTTATATCTTGGTGGTTTCCACTTTTTATCGGAATATTGCACTTGTTTTTATGCAGTAGCGAAGCTTCATTAACAGATTACTGAGATCCAAAGTCATCTCAGTGTCAACATTACTGGTTTAAACACGGAAATTTAATTATCTAATAATATTTGAACAATTTCCTCACCAAACTCACATGCGAAGCACACTTTACAAAAGCTGTAATTACTGTATAGACTTGCTAAGTTTAAAAATTCTTTTGCTGTATTAAATCTGTTAAAATTACCTGAGAAGACTTCTTTTTAAAGCGGAAGTTTGTGATTATTAAAAAAAAAAAACACCAAAACTTGGTGAAGTTTAAGGATATTTTAAAAAACAGACAAGAAAAAAAATTAATACTCTTACTTTAAAGAAATTTTTACAAAAAAAATCAAAGTAATTTAGAAATACATAGTATTTATGTTCTAAGACTATTTAATTGTGAAGATTCTACCCATATGGGCCTTGAACTATGTTCCACAGCAGAGTAATGCCCTAATCTTCCAGGAACAGAAGTAAGGGAACCGGAATCTGTTATAAAGTCATCCTTCATATTCATTGAGCTCTCTGTCTCAAGAAAACTGTTTGAATGCCCTTTGATAAAATGTGTTAGATCTACATAGTTTTGGTTTATAAGATACTATTATTCATGTCTATAATATTATGAATGGTTTCACTATATTCTCTATTTGCGAATCCCTAAGGGAAGTTCTTGGCTCATCAGTTCAATCTTTTTAACTATTTATGGCACATAAAGATAAAAGTCACTATTTAGTTTGGGAATAAACCATTTTCATTGTATCAGCCTCTCAGGAGAGCTATACATAAAGAGAAAAGAAGCACAGTTTGTTTTTTCAAATTTATTTCTTCCTGGCATTTCTTTAGAACTAACAGTGGTTAGCTTATGTTGTTGGCTTTAGTTTTCTATTACATAACAATGTCAATAGTGCATGGCCTCAAAAATTATGTGGGCCATATAGATAATTTAAATACATTTTTTTTAAAGGCCAAAAAAATAGGAATTTTATTTCAATTGATGTGTTATTCATTTCTAGCACTTTTAAGGGCTTGGGTCACTTAATTTACAAGAAAGGAACCTTTACCTCACAAATGATGTAACCACAAATTTAAATTGAAAACCGCAAATAAAAAATTAAGAGTTATATACTTTTTTAGATAGTGATACTTACAACCTGCAAAGTCGAATGTTTTTGGACTTTGTTGGATGGCTTAGATATTCTTTCTTTGAAGTGTAATTTAAATTTAAATATCATCTAATAGGCTGAATACATTTTTTTCTACTACTTGATTAAAGTAGTTAGTGATGAAAATTTATTACAGTTTTGGTTTAGCTGTGTCTGTTCACAAGACTACATCCTTGAAGATGCTTGCAGTAGAAAAAAAAGATCAAATTTTTGTCTTGTTTTTTTCTTTGCCACCTAACAAAAGAGTTAAAGTCAATAAGGAGAAAAAAGGATATTCAATTATGACAAAAATTGGAAGAAAAATCAGGGATGTCAGCTGCATAAATTTCCAGGTTATTAAGGGTGTTGTACTTCAGCAGCTCTGTCCATATTTGGAACTCATTCTGCAGGACTATGTATCCTCAAGAAAGCACAATATCTGGGTACTTTGAAAATGGTTAGCAAAGTCATAGTATTTAAACAAGACAGCAATAGTGCCTTGTTTAAAGGTATACCTGCATTGGCATATGGATTCTTCCTGAGATACTGAATGATAAAAGGAAGAAAATAAAACAGGTAGCAGTATTTTTGAAGGCCTGTAGGGAAATCTCAGCCTTTGGTGTTCTGACAATTCCTGCTCCTAAAAATAAGAAAAGGTGCGAGACCTGAATTTATATTAATGTAAGTCCCAGAGAATTTAGCAATTAGAAATGTCAAAGAAAAATGTTAGGTCTGCAGACACAACTGCAATTGAAAGTAAACATATTTGTCATTGTAACTACAGTCCGCTGCTCTGAAAGAGAGTTATGGGTAACCAACTTACTTCTGTAATCATGGACTGTGAAGTTTGGTTTGTTGGAAGCCTCAGATGACAGTTTGAAGGAAAATCTTTGCCCAGCTGGTGACAAATCTTTATCTGCTGCAGTGATGGTCTGTATCACCTGAAACCAGATTAATTCTGAATCAGTTCACTCTTCCAAAAGCAGCAGTTTTGTAGAAGTACAAAGTGAGCATCAAATGAAACTATTGAAAGTGACTTCTTGCTGGATTACTGTCATTCATTCGAACACTGCACAGTGAAAGCAAGAAGTCTGAATTCTATAACCACTGAAGAACTAAGAAGGTCTTGCTTTGACATATCTGATAAAAATCAGAAAGATTTACTGTACATTCATGGTATTTAATATTTATTGATTATATTAAAATGCTAGTGATGGCTTTCGGTTGAATGGTTATGCTTCACTTTATCTGCTACCACTTCTGTCACAGATACAACCCTTTAAGGAAAAGATTTGTTCTCCACTCATAGCTATCAGTAAAGGGTGGCTCAGGCCTATATAATTGGAGAAATTAAAAAAAAATATAGGCTGCAAATTGGCCATAAAAGTCAACAAACAGAATTCCAATATGTATTTCCAACACAAACATTTTGTTTGTAGAAGAATTCTGCCCATGATGTAATTTTTAAACCCAGAAATTTCTACTGCTGTAAATAATAAGGAAAGAAAAAGCAAAAGAGCAAGCATCACAAATTTGAAATACCTGTCCTGGCTTGGCATTTTCACACACAGATGTCTCATATGGAACTGAAATTTCAGGAGGAAACTCGTTGACATCCAAAACATTTATTATAACATTGACTTTGCTGGTTAATAGTGGGTTACCTATAAATAATTTTAAAAGGAAAACATTACATTTTTTGTCATCATCAGTCTCATAAGCTGTTATAAACTTGTGATTTCAATACTGTGTCTCCCAAAAGCCCTTGACTTCCATTTATTTCTGTTTTGAACTAAGAAGAAAAGAGAACCAAACTTCTTATCAATTTGTATCAGACTTTGATCCATTACTCTTCATGGGTTAAGGAATCAATCAGGGTGATTATGTTTATCAGAGCATAAACAGAAAAAAAAGTGAAGGTGTACCTGTTATTAAGGATGTAAACTTTTCTCAGATCACCTTTCATTAAGCCTGTGGAAAACACTTTCAATGATTAAAACTGAATTATGTTTTCCAAAACTAAATGCAGAAAAACAATATTTATGGCTTAGCCATTGTTTAAATCTTCAAAATATTAAGGAGGCAAGCAGAGCATACCAATTTAGAAGACAGAGAAAGAGAGAAAGATATGGAAAAACAAAATCTTGCTGAAAGCCAGACAGTCAGTGTTAAATTCAGCAGTGAAACACACACAGCTGGCATTCAACTATTTGGCCATGTCATGGAAGGTATTTCTTTAAATGTAAAAGTGTTTGCAGGCAGCAAATATTTTTGTGCAAAAGAAATGTTAAATAACAGTATACACCGTGTTTCTTTCCACTGTCCTTCCTCTATAGATAATCTTCATCAGTCTCTAGATGCATTTTATAAACAAGTTTACTCGCAAATGCAATGTCTGACAAAACAGAGACACTAGTACAATACAAAGCAGATAATGTTCACTTTTACTTTATGCTGAGACCTCCTGCAAAACAGCAAATATGTGAAAAATAGCATAGCTGGTGAGTAAAAAGTATAATTATTTCATCCTTTTTCATTAAGATGAGTGGCAGAAACAGTTAACTACTGAAAAAATCTATGCTATAAATCAGGGTGTTGTAGGAATGACAACATGGGATAGTGTTTAATTACAAGAGGAGCTGTGTTGAATCTTCAGGAGTAAATCATATAATCATAGAATCATAGAATGGCTTGTGTGGGAAGGTACTTTAAAGATCAGCTAGTTCCAAACCCCCTGCCACATGCAGAGACACCTTCCACTTGACCAGATTGCTCAAAGTCCCTTCCAGCTTGGTCTTGAACACTTCCAGGGATGGGGCACCCAAAACTCCTCTGTGCAACCTGTGCCAGTGGTTCAGCACCCTCACTGTAACAAATTTCTACCTGGAATCCAATCCACATTTACTGTCTTTCAGTTTGAAGCCATTCACCCTTGTCCTGTAATTACATGTTGCTGTCAAATGTCCAGCTTTCTTGTAGGCTCTCTTTAGGTAATAGAAAGTCACAATTAGGTCATCCCAGAGTGTCCTCTTCTCCAGGCTATAAAAGCTCAATTGTCTCAGCCTGTTTTCATAGGAGACATGCTCCAACACTCTGATCATCTTCATGGCCCTCAATGGACCACTCAAATTATTTGCATTGGACACTTGCTTTGCCCTTTGCTGCATTAGTTATGAACAAAAGAAATGCCAAGGATTATACAAACTGCAAAGTTTCTTCACGTTGTCACTATAAAAAATTTGCATGCTTTCTTCCTTATTCTTTGGAACTACTAAATGCAGGAGTAGTTTCAGGAGACCTCTGTCGAAACCAAAGGTACTCCCCAATTATTTCCCAAGTTTCACAGGACTAGCTGCAAGATGAACTTTGTTTTACCTATTTACGAGTAGTAGATAAACAGACCAAGCTATAAACACAGCTTGGAGCCTAGAAGACAACAAAAATGCACTATCCAGATCTCACATTTGTAGTCCCTACCTAAGAATTTAATAGAGAAATATTTAATATTTAATAGAGAAAATATATAACAACATCTCTTTGAATTCTCGTTAATTTCCAATTCAGCATCATCCCTACTTGCAGAAGGTCTCTGTGGAGGAGGGCATTGTGCAGTACAATCAAAGACACAGTTTGGTCTAGCAACTAGGAATTGGGCACTCATTCTTTACATGCCTGAAGAGCTGGTTGAATTGGTTCCTTTGTAAAATAGGGAAAAAAAAAACCCACAAAAACAAAAACAAAACAAAAAACCCAAACAAACAAACAAACAAACAAAAAAAAGCAACAAAAAAACACCAACTTATTTTATTCAGTAGAGGGCAAGACCTCTATAGACAGATCAGAAAATCCCTGAAGAGGTCAAATTCACACAGCTACTGGGAGAAACAATCTGACCTAAAACGTTCTGAAAGGGACACATCAACTCACATGGAGTAACACAGGTTTTTCTTTAGATGTTTTTGTGTGTCTGTGTTCAGTTTAAGGTACAACACTGAGAATCGGGGGTCCAGGACATATTCTTCAAACAGATTAGAGATTAATGCATTGCCACCAAGATACAGGCATAGATGTCCATTTCCTTTTAGGAATATGCTCACAGTGCCTTTCCAATAAAACTTTTGAATGTATTCAAAATTTATGCATCGTGTACATGAAAATATCAGATGATTTTGATAATTTCTGTTAGACGTATCAGTTTCTTTAAGAAGATTTTTAGGTCATATTTTTGTAAAGTAACTTGTATAAATTACTTTTTTCTGCTTTTTGCAACAGTTTAGGTAGTAAGTGACCATATTTTTAAAATTAACAAAAGGATTTGACTTTTTTTCCCCCTCAAAATCACAACAGAATAGCATACTCTGGAAATACACATGAAAATGAGTATATTGTTAGATTTATTTCTCACTGATGGTATCTGATTTATTCTCTGTTGTTCTTTGAAAGATAAATTACAGACCAAAATCTTCTATTCCTAAGTATTTCAGCAAACTAGAATTTTACCTTGCATAAATGCTCTGGAAAAGACAGACATGAAAGTAAAGAGAATTACCAGAGCCCAAGATGGACCTATTTCAGGTTTTCATTTTGTTTACAGGATTTTCTTTCTGGTTTGCACTGACATCACTTTAACTACTAGTATATAGAAAGGAAGACTGCAAGAAGATTGTGTACAGCTTTGAATTCATATATAGTACCAAAGACCTGTAATACTTGATGTGAGCAAGCATGAAGAATTGCATTTAAAATTCTACTTTGCAGACTTGACCTCCATTTTCTCTGCCTTTTGGTTGATGTTTCGCTCAAATTCAAGTCTTCATGAACCCTGGGAACACAATTGTGACGTATATACTGGTATCAGTGAGTGAGTCACTAAAAACATACTACTTATGGCTTTTAAACCCAGATTATACAGATGAGAAGACAAACTGGGTAAATCATGAGCCTAGAAATTAAGAAACTGATTTAAAGTTTGAATTCTGCATGTAAGATATAGGAAAATTAATTAGCTTCATTAATTTCTTTTATCAACTTAATTAATTAGTCGACTTAATTTTCCCTTGTTTTTCCTGTCTATAAAATAGTGACCATGCTGCTTCCTTTTTTTGCTTGATTACCATCATTTGTCAGCATCTTAATGGTTCAAAGCTATTACAGCAGTAGAAAACGTAACATTCTTTGAATAATGGACTTGTGAAAATCCAAGGTATCTGAGAAAATAAATACTGACCATTGAGGAGAACTGCTGATTCCTTAATCCCAGTTATGGTATATAGGAGAAGATCAACTCCATCTTGAGATTTAAGGTGAGGTTTCTTTAAGATTCTCAAAATTTGGGTCTAGACATAGGTGAGTTGGGAAGATGGTTTGGATAGGAAGGATTATTACTTCATTTTTATCTTTAAATTATGAGGATAGAAAACAGAAGTAAGTTCTTATGCATTTTATCTGTCTCCTCTTTAGTAAAATGGAAAAAACACTTCCATACTAGGTATAGAAAAAACACTTCCATACTTAGGCAGCATATGGAGGAATTTTGAACATGGGACTGTGATTTTTTTATGCCACTATGCTCTTATAGCAGCTCTTGGTGCAGTTTTGGCCTGGGGCAACCAGTGGTCTTATAGACAATTCACATGCATGTGATGGGAATTAGTAAGGGCAGGGACTACTTTTAAAGGACTGATTTACATCTGGAGGGACTCTGGAAGGTAAGAAGGCATAGAAATCAGCTACTTCATGCCAGCTGGCCTTCGTGCTTGACATGAATGAGCTCCATGTTTAATTTATTAATTTGAATAGGTTCTGTGGCATCAAAAATGTTCAGAAACAGCAACCATGCAGACTACTAGGGTGTTGATTTATTCTAATTATTAAGAAACAGAACAACAAGCTAAAATGAAATATAGTCATGCAATGAAAAGAGGTACAGCGGAATTGGGAAGCAAAACGGGGAAAAACAACATAGTCTGAAACCTCCTCCACCTGCTCAAGCACTTTGTTCTATATAAAACCTGAACTTTATATCTATTAATGGGTTAGGGATGTTCTAGGGATTCAGCTGCCTTCTCAGTATGTCTGCAGAATAATCATCCATCTCCTGCTTAAAAGCATTTCCATTCAGGGACAATTCAAGAAAAGTTAGTTTACAGAATGGCCATTAGAATGTGCCTAAAAAGTGTGAGAGGTGTTTTTGTTGCTATTCTCTCACAATGAGAAAACAAAATTTTAGCAATGGCATGTTTAAATAACATTACTATTTATGAGTCTACTTATTTATTCTTATTTTATAAAGATATACTATATATATACGTCTTTATAGAGAGATAAAGTCACCAGGAAGTGAAAATACTTCAATAACAATACTGTCTGTTCTTTTCTGAAGAAAGTTTATGCAGCTAATTTCAATACTGGGCCACCTCTTTACATAGCCATGTATATGTCAAGGCTCTTCTCAGTGTATTTCTCCTGTGATAAGGGATGACAGTCTCAGTTTCTATGTCAGCACTGGACAGCAATTTTTTATATCAATATTTCTTCAAATATAGCAATTTCCCCTCAAACTTTTTCAATTTTTTTTCTCTCTAACCATTACTTTTTGCTTTTGTGCGGTGTGTCATCCCTCAATCCTCCACCCTTATTGCATGCTCTTAGTCAGACAATTGCACACAATGTTTTGACAGTTACTATAGCCCAAATCCTCCCAAATTTTGCCAGTTACTAGTATAGTAGAGGTATGGCAATTATTACCATTATAGGTAACAGTCAGTATATAAATATTTTGGGATATGCTGCAAAAAAGCCCAGATATGTTTTAGGTGCAGATTCTTAGCATAGCAATTGGTAAAATTTGGGATATCAAAATATATACTTTTTGCTACAGGTCTGCTTAAATGTCATACTATTATAAATATGTATCCATGGACAAATAAATTTCAGGGGTTTAGACATCTTTAATTACTCTTGGGAATAATAAACAGATTTAAATCAAGTTTACTAAAACTGTTTCCCTTGCTGCAGGAAAAAAAAATCACAAATCTCAAATGTCCTTTGCCCACTACTGAGTCTAAATAGTTAAGCTTTACTGAAACATAGACCATGATGATACCTTCTTTCTGCATCTGCCTGCCTTTCAGTTTCTCTGGAAACAAATTACAGTTCTGTTAATTTTTCTGTGACTATACATCTGCACATGTATCTCCATGGAATCAACCACTTCTGACAGTTTAGGCTTCTCTGTTAGTGTATGTCTTTTCCAGTCTTGGAAAAAAATTCAAGTGTTCTGGTGTTGTTTTTATATTTTCAGGTTCCAAGGAGTGAGCCCATGGTTCGAGATAACTACAACTGAGAATTGAGGTTGTTTCTTTTTTTTTTTAATCTGAAATAATATATACCATCTCTGCTTCCCAAATCTCCTTCTTCCTGTTAGTAGCAGGTATTAACTTTTGAAGACTCAGCCAAGCAATACATTGAGGAAAACATGTTATTAGCTACAGAAACTTGCCTTTTCTGACACATAAACAACATAGAATTAATAAGCAATACCTCTTTATAGCCTGTTGATGTCAGAACAGAATGAATTCTTTGGCCTTTGCTCAACTGCTAAGTGACTAAAATACTTGTATTCAAAGCATGAGATACACCTATGAGAGTTAGTTTGACAGGAACATGAATGAGAAATGCCACACATGTGGATGGCAATGAAGAAAGTTGCAGGTACATAATACCGTGGAAGAAAGCACTTCTTATTTAAAAAAGGCTATGAAGAAGACACAAAGACAAGAAATGAAATTATCCCACCACAAATCACATAGGAAAAATAAAAGAAGGGGTTAGGCATAAAATTTTGGGCAGAGAGAAGAGATAAGAGCAGAGATGCACCACACAGATTCATTTATTGCATTAAATCTTTACTTAATTTTAGACTTTTTTATCTGAGTATCAAATGACTCTTTACATTTTTCTGCCTTCAAAAAGCATATTGACAGACCTGTTATTTGACTAACCCAATTTCATATTAAGTGACTTACAAAGTCAGAAACCAGAACTGGAAGGCACCCATACAGCTCCTTATGCTCTCCGTGCTGACAAAAAGCTTTTCAGCTTCTAAGGGAACTGTGGTTACTGCAAGCAAAACCTTACTAAACAGGACTGATCACATTTATCCTCATGAGTCTGGGAAAATTATATTCATTGAACCTTCTTAAATAAACACTTGGCAATTCAAGTAGTCTTCACATTATATTTATACCTGAGCATTATATTCTGAGAAAAATACCATATTAGCATATTAATTCCATTTGTGTCATACTTACTAACTTTACTTGCAATTATAGAGAAATTGTATTGTGCTGTGCTTTCTCTGTCCAGTAATTCATTAGTAGCAATGGTTCCCTCAGTAGCATCTATTGTAAAGTAGCTGTCCACATCATTCTTCCAATCCATGAAGTATCTGTATGTGAAAAATATTAAAGAAAGTAGATGAAAATGTGCAAAGATTACTCATTTATCATAGCAGCAGTGTACCTGCCTCAAGTTTTGTTATTTTTCCCTTCGCAGCTATTATCATCCTTGCAGGAAGAAGACAATAAAGAATGATTTGTTTATTTCTTTTTTTTTTGCCAGGTTGGAATGCTCAAGGGGAAATGGGATATAATAAAAGGTTTAAGACTCCTGGTGTTCAGGTTATTTAAAAACCTTGAAGTCCCAAGAATTTGATGCACATCTTCTGTGACCCTGATTACTTATATCAGCCAGTTTGGAAGCACTATATAGGCTTAGAGGGAAAAAGAGAAAATGTATGTGAAACAGGGCTTGAGGTGATGAATGGTGATGGAGTGTGCGAGATCTGGTCTCTTTACACCCATTTGTAGCTGCAGTGGGCTGGACACAGCCTCACAAAGAGGTGTCCTAAAGGAATTTGGCGGAGTAACAGCAAGGGAGATGGAGAAGACTATGCTTATTCCCATACATATATAGGATCAATAAATAGCACTTTGTGAAGAATAAGTACCTTTCACTGGACCTGTGAGGAACAGAGAAATACTATTATGTTTTTTTGTTTTATTTTGTTTTGTTTTCTTGAGCCCTCATTTGTCAAGAAGTATGAACATAGAACAGATTTAAAACCAGAAACATTTACTTATTTCTTATTTTTCTCTAGCGAGGAATAGAAAGCAGAGATGTACCTGGTAACACAGCTGCTTAAAAGCAATGTGATAACTATCCCAAACCCATTTCCCTTAAATGCTAATTAATTTGAAAGTCTATTTTCACATTTGATGCTACTGTTTGTAGTCACAACAGAATAATATTTTTTCTGATGCAATTGCCTCTAGCTACTAATTTCCTTTTCATTGTTAGTCTCTTCATACCTTGATAGTGTTTCTCAAAAACTAGGCAGGATGAAATTGAGAAAGCCATTTGTGAGCAGTAGGTAGTAAGAACAAAATGGCACTCAACAAATACATTCAGAAGATTATAAAGCCTAGAGGACCACTCCTATGACATCTCATTTCATGCAAACCAGTGAGAATAGGAATAAAAGCTGCTTTTTCCATCTCTAATTAGAGTTATTTATGTATTTAATATAGAGGGGATGGAATGATAAGCACTGTGTTTGCTTCCGTAGAAGGAAGAAACAGTAGAAAGGAATATGTCATAGTCACAAAGAAAATATTTCTACTTGGTACTAAGAACGCCAATAGCTCTGGAAGACTTAAAGAGTAAAAAAGCCACAAATAAGGTGATGTGCTTGTTTGCAGACATTTTGTTCAATCAAAATCTCAAAAAAATTCCTCTATGTAGATGAAGTAGGTTATTTCATCGATTGACAGGCATCATTACCGGTTTACAGCTTTAATTGAAAAGCCACAGAAATGGTTTGCTAAAGGCAGCATGTATCCTTTTACATAGTTGAGCAAGCACATTTTCTTGAATATGATATTATTATCTACCCATATTGGTAATTTCAATCTCTTTGTTCAAAATTTGCTTGACATTAAAATTATGAAAAATATATAAACCATTTATTAGAAACATCATTACCCTAAGATGCTCTCTCAGGAGCAGCAAAATTACTCTGTCAGGCTTTGCATCTTTAATAAATTATAATTTCTTCCAAAATTAAATATGCAGCAACACACAAATAAATGAGTTCAAAGCATGAGAAAGTAACTTGGCTTTTATTTCCCCTTAGGAAGATTAACTTTGCCTGAGTACCCTGCACATTGCAGTATGAGCCAGGGAAGAAAAATACAGGCCTTAATTCAAAGCACCGTGTAGGGGATGGCCTTCACTGGAGGCTTTGAAAATACAGAAAACATATTAAGTATGAGCACTGTTGTGTTTGAAATGAAGTTCAGGCATGAATATTTGTAGGATCAGAATCTGGTAGTCTGGAAGTATTCACACAGGTAATAATTTCATGCACAGGCCCAGTATGCCTATTCCTAAATATAAGCATCAACAGGACCAAAGTTCACAGCAAGCACCACAAGACTAGCGCTACTCCTGCTGTTACTTCTGGCAGAATTCCTCATGGCTTCTGTGGAAATGGGAATTGGGTTAAATTAAGCATGTTGTTTCAACTCCTCGTATTTTAAGAATCTACATATCCAATTAGACTACCAAAGGGAGAGGTATAGGCAGAATTATTGGAGATGTATTGTCTAAAAGAGATAAATTAACAGGAAAACGTGCAAACAAGCATCCATTCTTCCTCCTTTGATAGGTTCTCCATGTATAGTACCCAAGAAAACATTCCTAGCAGAAAATCCTCTTACAAGCAGATCTTCTGGACACAGAATTTCTCCCAGACACATCAGTAAGCCTATAAAGCTTAAGAAAAGTAGGAATAGGACCCCATCTGTCTGGTCTTGAAATGGGAATTTTTTTGGGACACCCCACTGGGAGGTCACTTTTGGCAAAAACCCTAAGAAAATGTAGGTTCCTTTCATAGGCAGAAATCACTCTTTCACACATTGATGCTCAGTGTGTGATTTTTTTGTAAATAGGACAGCAACAGCTAATCTCTAAGGCCAGCTGCATAGCCTGAGCTCTGTCCTTAACATGGAGGAGATGGTTTGAAGAAGAGAAGAAATGGGAAAAATGTCTCCAACCAGAAAAATCAGTAACTTTCCAGAGATAAACCCAGATATCTGGGACATAAAGCCTGACATTTCTTGTGAGATTAGGATACACAGAGGAACACTGTTGAAATACTGGTATTAGGACAGCTGTCTAGATCTTCCAGTCATGGTCTAGCAGTTTGAAACAACTGAGGTTGGTTTATTTGACTGCTCAGAGTGCCTGCAAGACTGACCATGGATAAGTGCACTAATCCTAAGAGGCATTTCCTTCCTTGAAAAGTTAGGGGAGAACTTGTTGATATAGGACAAAGCAGAATTATTTTCAGAAGTCCCTGAACAGGCCTGCCTTGCAGGTCTCAGTACCAGATATTCATATCCACTGTCAGTGAAGAAATTGTGACATGTATGTCTTTCTGAATATTCTTTCCAGCAGAAAAGTGTTTTCCAGATGATATTGTTGAAGGCAAGGAGTGTGTGGAAGGACATATCTTTGCTAACACTGTCTAGAGTTTTCTCAAGAACAGCTGCATTTGGACATCATGTAGGATAGAAGAGATAGAATGGAACAATTTGGTTTAAAAAATTATAAGATTCAAGCCTATAAGGCTCACCCAGAGTCCACAATGACCTCTTAGGAGCTCCAAGAACTATGGACATTCACCCTGGCTAGACAGAGAGGCTGCATGTCCCTCACAAGCTCTCACAGAACACTTCCACAGAAGAGGGCTCACCTCCTTTCAGAGAGAGAAGGACAACAAGGAAGACCGAGCTGACTCCTGCTGCAGCACAGAAGATGGCAGTGCTTGATGGAGTGCTATTGAATGCATGAGTGACAGCAGGTCATCCCTGTGAGGATAACAGTGACTCTGAGCCATTGAGCAGACAACTGTAGTGCCTTCAGACTGTTGTGCCATGAATAAAAGAACCGGACAGCTGTCCTGCGCTGCTGGAGAAACCCGTGTGACAACTTGCTCTGAAGGGATGGGAGGTGGCAGGATGCTAAGGAGGCTGTGAAGCCTAGGACTTGGGATGTATTTTTTGCTCTTAAAAGTGTGGAGGGGAAGATTTCTCCTGCCTATCACAGAAAACGTTTGTTCTTGATATTATGGTCATGTAATGTAAGCCAGGAAAAGAGCAAGGTAAGAAATCTAAAAGTGTGTGTATTTTAGAGGAAGAGAAGACTGCTTTAAAGCTGTGCTGGGAGGATTAAGGCCAAATGACAGAGGTAAAACTCAAGGATTGACCTTAAAGAGTGCTAAAGCACAGACAATAGATAAAGTGAAAGATAAAAAAGGTAGTGGCAATATCCAAAATTAGGCATTTGAAGGTTAATGGTTTCTGATCATTATGCCTTTGTGCTCAAAAAACATTTCTTTAAAAATAAAATTCCTATACTTGTTTTGTTTTGTTTTGTTTGGTTTGGTTTGTTTTTTTTTTTTTTTTTTTTTTTTTTGTTTTTTTTTTTTGTTTGGGTTTTTTTTTTTTTTTTTTTTTGGTTTTTTTTTTTTTTGTTTTTGTTTGGGTTTTTTTGTTGTTTTTTTTTGGGGTTTTTTTTGAGAGAGGGAGAAATAACCAGGTGATAGAGGAGCTTTACAAAAATAACCTTAATTTGTCTCAACTCACACTTTGCTGATGTAAAGCACATTGCTTACTCTAGTACCTAGTGACTTACAACACAGGCTATTTTTAAGAAAAATATTGCAAAGAAAGGTAAGGGATGAAATAACAATTCTGTAATGTGAGAGATTACTAATTGTGTATATGACCTTAAGTTGTTTAAACTGCATTCACTTTAAGTTTTATTTAAATATTAAACTGCAACTAAATGAATTTCTGTGTCTATGACAACTTAAGATATATAAATACCACCCATCATATCAGAAATAAAAAGCAGTGGCCTAAAAACATTAGGAACATAAATGAAAGCTAAGAGAATTCAGTTGGATATTGTGATTGGTTACAATTTTTTTGTAATTCCAATACATATATAATTAAATAGATGAAAGAAGCATTAAAGCAGGAATGGCAAAAGTGATAAGGGATTGGAGGAATATAAATGAGATTCTAGGTGTGATGAGACTACCTGAAAACCCAGAGGAATTTTCATTAGTAGAATAATCATGTGCTGTGGGTTGAAATTATTAGATCTCTGCATGTAACTGTATGTTGAGAATATGACACCTCTACAGTACAATTGTGTCATGGTCATTAAATCAATAGATAAATATAAAAAAAATAGAGAAAGCTTACAGAAAAGCAAGAAAAACTGTCTTGGGTCTAAAAATTTCCAAGTTATAAGGAAAGATTAAAGGAACTAACATATGCTTAGCATGGATAAGAGATGAAAAAAGGGAGACAGGGA